CTGGGCCATGTACACCGAAAGCACCTGTTGCCCAGTGATGAGGCTTGAAAATCAATGTGGGAACAATAACTATGTGTTGAGGGCTCATATGGCAGGAAAATTTGTGTGTATGATTTCCTCTGAATCTCCACTAGAGCCCCATGGAGTACACATTGTGGTCCATTACTGAATAAGGAAGATACCAAAGCCAATCAGGTAAACTTCTCAGGATACAATGCTAGGGGACAAAGGAAAAAATAAGAGCCACCCTTTATTACAATCCCTTCGGCCTGCTTGACAATTCCCTCTGAGAGAGAGGGAGAACACACTTAATCCTAACAGAAGGAGGAAGCCGGCCACACTACCAGACGTTCACAGTTACACAGCATTTTATCACCTAATTTTCCACCCCCTGGGGCTGACATCATTTTTCCTATTCCTTACAACAACTCTCAAGCTGGCAGAGAAGTCAATAGTTTAAAATAAACGATTCATGGATGGAAAGGAGCTGCCCAATCACAGTGGACAGACTCATGGATGGAAAGGAGCTGTCCAATCACACTGGATAGACACATGGATGGGAAGGGAGCTGCCCAATCACACTGGATAGACTCATGGATGGAAAGGAGCTGTCCAATCACACTGGATAGACTCATGGATGGAAAGGAGCTGCCCAATCACACTGGACAGACTCATGGATGGGAAGGAGCTGTCTTACACATGGGGCAGATTGGGACTGAGACTGTCTTAGGCAGAAATTTACCAATCTCAGAATGTGTCCCTTCACACACCATCCCTTTTAATGGATGGGTTTTCTGAACTCAGCAAGATACTGTGTTGGCATGGGTGTATTTATGCTGTCAGCACAAGGTAGCTGCACCTTCAGCAACAGGCACTGGCCATTTGAGGTGAACTTTGGTGTAGACCTGGGTCAGCGCCATTGAAAGCAGGAATGATGGGAGGTCACTAGCAGCCATTTAACACCACCTCACCCGGGACTGGCTTTAGTCTATGTGTAAGAGAAAGGAAACACCTGTCCCAGAAGAAATAGAAAGTGAGAGGAAACCAGGAGTCACTGCCAGGGTTACTCTGGTCTCTGAGGGGTCTCTGTGAAAGGACGGGTGAGCCCCACCTTCCAGGGAAAAAGCGACACTCCTTGTACTGAAAACCACACAGCTAGTGAGATGCAGAAGCAACCGAGGGGTGCAGCCTGCCCGGCTTTCTTCACCACAGCTGCCTCCAAGACGTACACGCACAATGCGGTAATGTTCACCGCATGCATGCCTGATACAGATACAGAGGCCAGAAGGCATGGGATCCCCTACAACTGGAGTTACATGTGAGCCACCATGTGGGTGCTGGGAACCTTACCCGGGTCTTCCATAAGAGCAAAATGTGCTCCTAGCTGCCAAGTCTTCTTCCCAGCCCCATCATTCTAAGTCTCTTACAACTCATGTAGGTGGAAAGCGGTGTGACATGCTTAGAGAAACATGTTGTAGAAGAACGTCCTTCTCCTGTGAGGAATCAAATAGTCAATACTCTGGGCTTTTTGGTCTTTGTTTCAATGACTCGGATCCATCATTATTGCATGAGGAAAACTACATAAAATGCATGCACAAATGGGTATAGCTGTGTGCCCATAAACCTTTATTTATGAAACAGTCAAAGGCCAGATTTAGCACACAGGAGATCCCTGCCACTTCCTGGAGGAAGACTCAAAAGAGAAACAAGTAAGTCGTCAGGGAGTGAGTTAATTATTCTAACTGAAACAGTAGACAGGCGGACATGCTGTGGGGACACAGCCAGGGGAGAGAAGTTGCCTGAAGAAACTGGCATTCCGAAGCAGGGTGGGGGATGGCTGGAGCCAACCTCTTCCAATGGCGGGGCTTCCCTCAGCCACACCCTTGTGAGCATTTCTGTGTTCTGCATTTGCTCAGCTTGCCTCTTTTGGTTCACAATTCAAAGCCCCTTGCTTTGAACAACAAGCACATCAGCTTTTCCTTCAGTCTGGCACATTCTAGATTCCTCTCAGTCTATCAGCAGACTTCTAAAATCTGCTCAGAAAGAAAGCTGTCCGTAAACAGATGCATCCTATGGAATGTAAATCTTCAAAGCATATAAACCAGCAGCTTGACTCACAGGAGCCCTCATAGGTGATTACACTGACACCAAGTCAGCAGCTGCCACAGGCTGAAAAACCCCAACTTTATCTTTGTCCCTTAACTTTTTCACGGACAATTTTGCAAGGAACTGAACGAGTGCCAAAAGTGAAAAGTATACATACCCCGACGTCAACAACGAATGGCAAAAACAGCAGCAAAGTCTACCCCGCCAGCATAGGAACCATTGCAAGTAGATGCAATGTGCAAAATAATACATTTAGTATTTTCACAGAAAAAGATGATTGAGAATTAAGAAAACAAAAGCAAATATCAAAAACTTAATTTGGAAGAAATAAAACTAGGGAGCTGAAGGAGATGACTCAGTAGGTGAAGTGCTTGTTACACAAGCATGATGACTGGGGTCAGACCCCTACACACAAACATACACACCCAAGCATGCATACATGCACATACATGCACACACACACACAACACCTACATACACACACGTGCACACACACACTCATACACACACACCAACACACTCACACACAGGCATACACACACACACTCATACACACAGGCCTGCACACACACACACACACACACACACAGAGAGAGGCCTGTACACACAGGTACATACACACACACACAGGCCCCGTACACATACTCATGCACATATACATAGGCTCCCCCCACATACTTAGGCACACACAACACACTGGCACACACACACACACAGGCCCCACACACACACTCATGCACATACATACATACACACATACATAGGCTCACACACACACACACAGACACACACAAACACACACAGACCGACACACACACACAGGCACAGACACGCACACACACACACAAACACAGGCCTGGGAAATGGCTCCAAGGATAGGAGCTCTTGCAGCTTTTGCAGAAGAACTGAGTTCATTTACCAGCACTCATGTCTAGTTAGCCATTGCCACCTGTCACCTCCAGCTACAAGGGGACCAAAGCCTCTGTCCACTGAAAGCAGTACACACGCACACACAAATACACACAATCAAAAATAAAAATACAACATATCCAAGAGCAATCAGGTGCTGATGCAGAACAGGAGCTAGAACACAGGAAAGATGCAAAACATACGAAGTGTGAAAGAAAGATGGGGTGAGGAAGAGGCACCCTTCAAAAACTCAGCGCTACAGTTTCTAGACTGTCTGGGTGAATGAACACAAAGCCAGTCCAGGCAATGATCCATCCTCTGTTTATGTGGTCAAGGTAAAGAGAAATAACTTCTACTGTTTTGACAGATCCTTGGGCTATGAAAGAGTGTGGTGTCTCCACGCTATTACACATGTGGCTTCAAAATCAAGCGATAGCACGAAAAGCCTTCTGTCCTGTTTGCAATTTCCTCACCCACCAAACTTCTAGGTTTCTTTCCATTGCACCACTTTACCGGTTTTAGTAGAAAGAAAAGGGAGGGGGACATATCAGGCTTAGGAATTAGGGTCACGCTGGAATCCCTGGAACCCTCGAGAGCTGGTGAGGGTTTGACCTTGGAGCAGTGGCATTAGGACAGTTGTTGAAGGACAATCTGCACGATAGAGTCAGCGACACAAGAAAAGAAATTTTGTTAAAAGTGTCTTTCCAGACCTTGAAATGAAATTGGATTTAGCAAATGTCACCAACATACAGATGTCCTTCAGCCTAAGAGTAGGCTTGGTTAACACTTACGGACCAGTTACTAAATGTTATCACCACCATACAAGGAGAAGGCAGCAGGAACTATTCTCTAAGCTAATCAACAAATTTGCCTTTATGTCACATAAATGAAAATTATTTGCTTACATTCATTAAATAATTCAATAAATCCTATACTGGATTGCTCAATTGTGAAAGTTTCATAAAATAAAAGAAGTAAATGATACTAAGTTTTTCTTTTTAAATAAACATCGTTCCACTTCATTGTTTGCAGCTATTGAAATCATTTTCTGAAAACAACTGTAATCTATAAAGCAAAAATGTGGGAATGGTAAGATAAGTGTTTCTGGTTCAGTTGACTCTGACAGCTCCCTTTCGGAAAGCTGTTGGTCCCCAGATCTTACACCAGCTAGGCCTCAGGCAGTGGGTTTCAATTTTAGGATGTACTTGCACTAACAATGAGCTCATTTAAAATATAGGCTCTGGGAGCCCAAAGGAATAGCTCAGCTCTTAAGTGGTTGCCACCCAAGCATAAGGATCTGAATTTGATCCTTCAGTCCCCACATTTGAAAAGCTGGCTGTGGTAACAGGCATCTGTAATCCCAGCACTACGGAGGATTCCTGGTGCTTACCCGCTAGCCAGCCTAACCAAATTAGTGAACTCCAGGCCACTGAGAAACCTTATCTCAAAAAAATAAGACAGAATGTTTGAGGCAGATACCCATTATGGGCTTCAGACCTACACACACACACACACACACACACACACACACACACACACACACACACACACACACACAGATTCCTGAACCCAGCGGGAGGGACTAGATACTGCAGACTTGAGAAGAGCTCCAGAATTCTTCCTTTTAGAGGTATAAGGACAGTGTGAGTTTTCTCAGTGGGTCCCTAGTGCTCCTTAATCCTCTGGCTTAGGAGATATAGACCCACAGACCTCCCTTTCCTACAAACTCAAGGACCTGAAGATCACTTGCTAGGCTAGCCCACAGACGTGACCTGACTTTCAGGGTTCTCGTTTGGGCTGGGTCTCCAAGATGACTCCAATAATCAATAAGAGGGACAGAGAAGAGTCGCCATGACTCCCGGGCGTAAAGTGAACCTCCACTTAGCATGACAGCTAAACATGGATTCAAGAGTACACAAAGAAATTCTTCGCAGATGTTTGTACGTCTGTCTACTCTTCCCCTCTCTCAAGAGGGGGCAGCTCACCTTTCCATAGTCGTCATGGTAATGGGCCATTTTCCCTCAGCCTTCAACTCCAAGCTCAGTTTCAAGAACGAGAAGCAGTGGTGTGAGCTGAAGAGAAGTTGGTAAAGTTTTTTTTACTTATTTACCCCCAGAGTAGGCGGTCAGTATTGACCTGATTGCAGAGCAGGCAGTGAGACACCAGGACCTTTTTAAAGCAGGACACCTTGCTGAGTGGTCAGAACCAGGGGGTGTGGAAGATACGTCAACATCTTTTTTTTTTTTTTTTTTGCTAAAATGCAATTGAATTTGCTTAGTTTGAAGCAACCTTCAGAGTACTGTTTTAGAAATTACTCCCTCAAGTTAGGGATTATTATAGGTGACAGATCCTAATTATTAATAAGACACTAGGTTTTGTCATTCCTAATGTATGAATCACATGCATTTACACTTACAGAGAGTCAATCAGATGAGAAAGGAAAAAAAAAAAAAAAAACCCAGCATACACCTCATTCTATATCTGCTTGTCAAAGGTTCACACTACTCAACTCACTCCAAAGAGTTAACTAGTTAACTACACAGGTTAGCAGGATAAGTACCCTTTCCCCTCCAGACTTTTCTATGACTTTGCAAACTAGTCAACAATGGAGCACAAAGGCCTCCAGAGTCACATTGGAATGTAGTGACAGAACCATCAGATGACATGGGACTCAGCCTCTTCTGTTTATGCCCGAACAGTGAGCAGCAGAAGTGAATAGAACCCACATCCGAGCCAGCACGGCCTGAGAAGGACTTGACACTCTGACTCCATGGTCCATGGCAACAGATTGAAAATGACAGCAAACCCTCTAAGAACATCTCTTGCTTTGCTCTTCTTTGCCCTCTCCGGGGTCCTGGGCACAGAGACAATCTCTTGCAAGGGTGACGAAGGTGGAGCTGTGGACTGGTAGGTAAATGAAATGGGATGATTGGTGCATGCGTGCAAACAAAGTCAGGGCATGTCTGTGACGAGCCTAAGGGAAGCTTTGACCTGGCTTCCTCCCTTTGCAACCCCAGACTGGGGCTGGGGACATGGCTGGGTTGGCATAATTCTTACCTAGCATGCATGAGTCTCTAGGCTCAGTCCCTAGTCCCACATAAACAGGACAGGGTGGGACACACTGTAATCCCAGCTGAAGCATCAGGAGTTCAAGGCCATGCTCAGCAAGAAAGTGGATTCTAAGCTAGACTGGCTTATATGAGCTCTTGTTTCAAGTAAATAGATACATAAATAAATTAATTAAAAAGAAAAGGTCTTAAAGTGTGCCAATGGGCTCAATTCCCAGGCAGAGATGGTTGCTGAGTGGGTGAGTTGCCCCTGAGAAAGTTCCAAGCAGTTCTCTAGAGCCTGAGTCAGTGCTCTGGGGTGGGGGGCAGAGTGTGACTGAGCTGACAGCTGTCGCTTGGCAAATTCCTTTCATTGCATGTGTTCTTTCTGAGATACAGAGCCAGGAAAGCATATGGCTCTAAAACTGAGGCATACCTTTCTCCTCATGAGAACAAGGAACAGTGCCTGATGGAGCCACGCATCATTTGTTAACCTTCGTCCAGGCACCAGCGATGGGGAGGTTATTGGTTTCTGTCACAGTGTCACCATGACAGTTGACAGCGTTGTGTGAATTTCAAGCTAAGCAGCTTCAGTGGATCCAGTCTTTCAGCATGTATGAGCTCTGAGCAGCCCTGCCCTGAGTTTTAAAGACAGAAAATATGAACAAAACATGGTTCCTGCCCGCCTGGAGCTCTGTTCTGTGGGATGGACATAGGGTGTTAAGAAGCCCAGAAAGCTTCTCTGAGAAAGTAATGTTGAGCTAAGTATTAAGATTAATTATGAAGTTCTAAGAAAAAAAAAAAAAACCCTAGGGAGATGCCATGGCGTTTGGGTCAGGCCGATGAGGAGCAGATAATTAGTGCAGAATTAAGGGGTGGTGTAGTGTCACACAGCCTGAGACGCAGGAGGATGCACAAACGTGTCTACAGGTAACAATGAGAGGTGTAGGTCGGACTTCCCGGGCGTGTTTTGGGATTCGAACCTGATACTCAAAGGGAACTACTCAAGGGCTTGGAACAAGGTTGAGAGATGATCCAATCGGCATGGCAATAGTTGGAAAGACAGATGGGGAAGAATTAGTCTAGAACCAGAGTAAAAGGACTTCCACAGGATCACAGGCAAAAGAGAGCATAGTATGTACAGACCAAAGCTGAAGAGGTGCGAATGGAAACAGAAAAGAAGGGCCTGGAAAGATGGGAGGCGGTGGGCAGCGGGGATCGGTGGCTTTTGAGGTCATATGTTCCAGAATAGCATAGGATGAATGGGTTTGTTGCAAAATACTACGAACTTGGTTTCAAGAATGTGGAGCTGGGAGATTCTGGACATCCTTGTGTCTAGGTATCTAACTCAACCTAGAGTTCTAGGCTAGAAACCACATATAGAGTTGGTCACCGAGGAAAACATGACTAGAAGTACTACTGTCACCTTGTGAGAATGGCATGGTAGCAGCTTTAGTTGCTCTGCTGGGAAGGGGCCTGCCAAATTGTGATTGATAGAATTGCTTTGCCACAGTTGAATAGATTTATTTCTTAGTAATACGTGTCAAAAAGACAGGCCTAGCTGCTTAGCAGAAAAAATTGCTGGACAGCCACGTATGTGGACTTGAACCTGTGGCTAAGAAGGCGGGACACTTGAGCAGAAGTATAAGTCCACTGAGGATCAAGCGAGGAGTGTGACAGACACTCTAGGGCGGGCTGTTACGTGTGTATGTGCACTGTGTTTGGCTTACTGGGTTTCGTGGGCTTAATTGCAGCATTTCATGCTGTTATCATATATTTGGCTAGACCAGTCGTTTTTAAATTGGGGCAAATTTGCTCTTGGGGGATGTTTGAGAAGATCTAGAGACAGTTTTGATTTGCTTTTGGCATATAAAAGGAGGAGGCCAGATAGCCTACGGGTCACAGGCCAGCTCAGGAAGCATAACCCTTGATCACAATGGGACTAGAGCACATGAGAAAGCCCAGGCTTTCCTGAGGTGACCCAAGGGGGCTCAGTGCTACAGGGGCCTGACCACTTGTCCTCACTGTGAGATATGCAAAGGAAATAACAAGCAGAATAATGACAGACGCAGAAAGAGAAGGCCTGCATCAAACACTTGATGGGCAAATCCTTCATCCACAACATTCCAGTAAATTGAACTGAAGGGCCAAGCCGCAGGAAAGTCTCCAGCTCAGACAAACCCACACCCATGTGTGTAGCCCCAAGGAGACCAGGTGCTAAGCACTGTGCTGGCCTCAAACCCAAGTAGTTCCAGAGCAGACCTGACCTTGGCCTTCTCTCCGCTGTGACCACCAACTGGAAGTATGGCGACAACAGAGAAAATCGCTCTCAACGCCCATGAACTTTCATTTCAGGGGCTGTACTCACTAGGCCAGCTAATGTGTTAGATTCTGAAGTCAGAACACACCACCGTTACCAAGCTCGCCTTCCCTAGAGAAAGATAAAAAGAGGAGATAGAGAAATGGGCAGAAAACTTGAGTATTTCCTTCGCTTAGAGGCCTCCTATGAAATACAGTGAATGGTGTATTTAAATGTTTTACGTAGGCTGTCATCAGAAAATCAGCCAATAAATGAGAGCAATTCATAACCATTTGCTGTTAGGTTTATCTTTTATAAGTTACCCAAAAAGCTTGACGTGAATAGTACAGAATCTGGGCTGGAGTACCTGTACCTAGACTCTACCATGAGAAGCTGGAGGAAGAGCCACCATCTGATAAACAGCAGTGACAGCGCTTTGGGAAGGACCTTGGGGCAGCTGTATGAAGCATATACGTCCAAGGTAGGTCACAGTCAATCATTCATAGGGAATCATAGGAAGCATGTAAACAAAACCTGAATCTCCCTCAGAAAGCATCTTTGGAGTGTGTGCGAGTGTGTGGTGATATATTATTTATGATTTATTGAAGCTTGCCTGAAATACCAGAGTGAAGAGCAAGCCACACTAGCTAGCCATAGAGCCAGACAGTGGTGGTACACACCTTTAATCCCAATACTCAGGAGCCAGAGGCAGACGGATCTCTCTGAGTTCAAGGCCACCCTGGCCTACACAAGAGCGAAGAGGACAGAGCTCACGCCTTTGATGCAGCATTTGGAATCACAGGCCTTTAATCCCAGAGCTAGTAGGTAGAGACAGGAGGGATAAGGCTGGGAGGCGAGGGGTATAAAAGGAAGAAAAAGGGTCTCATGTGGAGATTTAGTGTCCGGACAGAACGGCATAGGATTGCCGTCTGAAGAGAACAGTGCAGTTTGGAGATGCAATCAGAGGACACAGTGGCCCTTTGATCTGAGCATTGGCAGAGAAATATCCAGGGGAGAAATAGCTAGGGATTAGCTACTTCTGATCTTCAGCTTGAAGCTTGAACCACAATATCTGACTCTGGGTCTTTTATTATTCGCAATACGCCAAGCAGTAACTGGCATACAGCTCTACTCCACAAACGTGTTCCCTGATAATAAATTGTGGGTGTGTTCAAAATGCCTTGTTTCTATACTATGGTGGGTTCTTTGCCGGGCTTTTCACCTGTTAAATAATTTAATTCTTACCACAAGACTGCTTTAACTTCTAATACTACCACACAAGTCTACCTGAACATTCACTCAGGAGTGTTCAGTGTGTGTGTGTGTGTGTGTGTGTGTGTGTGTGTGTGTGGTGATGGGGGGGTGCTCGTTTCATACACCCACCATTAAAAGCACAGATAAAATGTCTCTGAAGGCTGTTTGAGTACATGTGATGTGCCAAACACTGTTTGGGGGGGGGCGCTATTTTTTTCTTTTTAAGTTATTTAATCTCAACAGCAACCAGGCTATTACGTAAAATGAAAACTGACTCAGTGCTTCTGCTTCCCAGGGTGATAGGAACCCAGTAGTGAGAAAATAAACTCCTACATTGTTCTCCCCTCCATCCCTAGAAGGGGAAAGATAACATGGTCAAGCCACCTTACTTTGAGTAGACGACCATTTGACTTCTAGGTTGGCAGACTCCGATTATGACCTTGGGACATGAAAGGCAGCCCAGTGCCTAAGAGAGGAAAGGCCTTCCACCTGCTTAGCAGGACAAAAACAGGGAGCAGGGTCAGGTGTGGCTTACGCCTGTTACCCTAACACTAAGGAGGATCACTGAGGCAGGAGGACCACCATGAGCTCAAGGCCTGCCTGGGATATATAAGTGACTCCCAGCTTGTCTGGGTTACAGAACGAAGTCTTGCCCACCCTCATTCTGAAACGAAAGGAAGTAAGGAATTGAAGAGTATGTGAGGAATAAAAGGCAAGTTGGAATACAGCGTAACGACAGTGAAAAGCTTTCGCTGTTTGAGTAAAACACTCACACGTACAACACTCTGAGTGCTCGGTTCTAGAAGGGAACACTTCAGGTCCGTATCTGATTGGAGCAAAAGAAGAAAGCCACAGAGCAAATGGCACGTAGGTGTGGCTGGGTGTTCTTTGGAAGACAAAGCTATCTGCCCCCCAGTGACGGAGAACTGTCTGCTCTACCCTTTGACCCGGTATTGATCTCCTAACTGATAGTGGGATGTACGATCAGACCAGCTAACTTTGTATCACACATGTCCAAAGGCCTGTTTACACTTGGAATTGTTCTTATCCTTTTACTTTTGCAAATAAGTACTCACCAAATTCCTTAAAAATCAAATTGCATTGCAGTGACTTATTCTTGCCTAACTATGTCTCTCGCTAGACTGGGTTCAGAGAATAATCCCCACAGTTCAAAATCCAACAATCAAGGCAGCATTTAACATATGGGTTGAAAGAATAGAGCTGGGACCCAGGAGGTGGAGACAGCCCCCAAAGCCAGATGTGTTGATGCTTGCAACATCAGCACTGGGGGTGGAGATGAGCAGATGTCGAGGATCTGATGGCAGCCAGCTTAGCATGCACCCGCTCAGTCAAATGTACCCATGTACACACACACACACACACACACACACACACACACACACACACACACACACACGCTAAGCGAAGGGGCCTCCCTGTATAGCCTAGGCTACTCACTTAGTCTTGAACTCATGACCCACTGCCTTATCCTCCTTAATGCTGTAATTACAGGTATGTGCCACCAGGTCTATCCTGCCTCCCCTACGGTCTTTCCCACCAAGTCTCCAGTAGCATCTTTTCCCACCAAGGCTGCAACCAGTTTAGCCATAGCTGTCTATTACACTCCTGGTTGTAATAATAAATGGCACCTATTGCAAGAATAAACATCCTCCATAGGTCATTCTTCCATGAGTTATACACATGGCCTTGTTACCACGGCCAATGCCAGCTCACAGTCACAGTCAGAGCTCTCAGGGGAAGGAGGAGGCATTACCACTCTGTAGCCGCTGTGGTTGAGTTCACAAGCAAGCAAACAAAAACCCGAGGCTAAGTGAATAGCTCGCTTTTGTGGGAATGCCAATAGAGAGTAGCAAAACTATACTGCCCATTTTTAAGTGTTTTTGGTTACCTCAAATAATTAACTTCAGGAGACTTTTCTGTCTGAGGGAAGGATGGGGCTAATTTTTTTTAAGGAAATGCCCCCCCTTGTTGCTCTCATTGTGTCACCTGAATTTTTTCAATGCCAACATCATTGGTTTCAATAAAAGTCACGGCCTCACGGCACAGATGGGATAGGACTGCCCAGAACAGATACCAGGCGTCCCCAAAACACGACAAAGAGATGCTGAGACAAAGAACGGTTCTCCTCATCCAACACCACACAGAAAATCCCACCCTTTTTCTAAGGAGGAAGACGTCAGTGTGGCACTGAGAAATGGTTTGAGGGGGAAGCACTCTCGTGTGAGACAGGAAGGAGAGCAGGTGATGAAGAATCCGGATTAAATACAGTTCTGTGAAGGCACTGAGGTGTGACACAGGCAGAGCAAATGAGACCCGGACAGCCTGCCCCGCACTGTAACAGCGGTGGGGGGGGGGGGGCAAAGACAAAAGCAGGTGCAATCTTCGGCTGCGTGTTCCAACTTCATTTCCTGCACAAACAATTCCTCATTCTTTTATCATACACTGCTTGCTTAATCAGATACCTGCTTCCAAACAACCAAGGAAAACACAAGTATCACCCTCATGCACAGATCACACAGGGCTCCTGTTACACGAGGCTAAAAAGGCCAGGCTGTGACACATGCCTGTAACACCAGATCTGAGGAAACGGAGTCAGGTGGTTCCCTGAGGTTCTAGTTCTAGGTCAGGAAAAATACCCAAGGCTGTTCTCTCTCCCTCCCTCCCTCCCTCCCTCCCTCCCTCCCTCCCTCCCTCCCTCCCTCCCTCTCTCTCTCTCTCTCTCTCTCTCTCTCTCTCTCTCTCTCTCTCTCTCACACACACACACACACACACACAAATGCACATGCATACATATACACACAAAATCTGCATGAGTGGAAAACGGACTTCTCTCCTTCACCTTGTATGTCACAGATGCTCCTGTGGGTGATCTCTGTGTGTAGTAGTGAAAGCTCCGTGCTGCAGGCTGGGTAGCAGTTAGAAACAGTGAGAGTAATTGAAGAGAAGATTTGTGCCATTATAACTCTTATGTATTCCCACAGCGCAATGACACGGGCTACCTAATATACAACGACGGGGTCCCTAAGTCTAAGAATTACAGCAGAAAGTATGGACACACCAAAGGTAAGTCAGTGGTTCTTGGCTTCTCTTTTCTATCGGGAATCAACATTTTCTTAAGCCCTTTATCTTTAAGTCCTCATACTCCACATCAAAAAGGCAACTTTTGTTTTTATGGCTTATCCTGACTTACTGAGATATGATTTCTATAGAACACTTAACAAAATAATTATATGACCTGACATGCCAAAGCCCTTTTCAGAACTCCCAATTTATTTCTTAGTATTTAAAAAAGAATGTGCTTTAAAGTAGGTAACAAGAACTGGTTGTTCAAATACCAGTTATAAATACATACACATCATATATGTATGTATGTATGTATGTATGTATGTATGTATACACACATACACACACAAGCAATAGGAGAAATGGGCATATACACACATTTTAGTTAGGTTTTGTTGGTTTTTGTTTCATATTTGCAAGCCAATCTTTCTATCACTGAGTTATACTCCCAGACCATTGCTAGCCTCTCCCCAAGTTGCTCAAGCTAGCCTTGATCTTTCTTGTCCAAATGTTCCATGTTGCTAGGATTACAATTATATCTAGTGTACTGAAGTTTACTTAATACATTTGAATAAAATTCACCCTATTTAATGTGCAACTCCATTTAAAATAAACATTGAAGAAACTGATCCTTAAAGTTTTTTTTTCTTAATAGCAACTCAATATATGCTTTGTTATATATTGTTACTTGATACAGGAATTCTTAACATAGTAATCTCTGTATTTTTCCATTTACAAACTATGTATAAAATGTATTGTTATAGTGTAATCCTAATATAAAACTGATCCTAATTATAAAACTATTATAATTATTCCAACTGCTTTCAACTAAATATGTCACCAGTAACTTTGATTACAATAAATATTCTTCAAAATGTTCCAAACCCAAATATCTTCAACGGAAGCCACATAATGTCAGCAGGCGATGTGGGGCTGAGTTAGCAGGGGACTGGGGAGTACTTACAATGTCTAACAAGGGCACCAATTACCCTGAATAATATGGGTGCAACTTTTCAGGAGATGCTAAAAATTAGTATTTTAGAAATATTTTTAAATATCTAATGGTTAGCAGGAAGTAAATTCAGGTTTAACAATATACAGCAAACCTAATACATCATCAAAGTGTGTTTGGTCCTAGAGCAGCTAATTTTCAATATCTGGTTCAGAATATAGTATACATCCAGGCATAGTCACAATTACAGTAACTCCAGCAGTTATTTGAAGAGGCTGAGGCAGGGCCACTGCCGTGAGTATGAGACCAGCGTGGGCTCCAGTGTAAGACCCTATCCCCTACACCTTCCCAAACATAACCCACTTGTAATGCCCACCAAACTTTGTAACCATGAAAGCTTCTGATTACATTGCTGCCCTTATGATAACCTTGTCACCATGGAACCCAGGGGCATTCAAACATGACATATTGTCCACCCTCCCCACAGTTGCCTCTGATTCTTCCTTTTCTGGCATGTTCTTTGCAGGAAGGATTTGGGGAAACAAACAAGAGTTTAATGTGAAGTTGGTGCTTCATTTAATCCACAGGTACACTAGCACCCAGGATACCAAGGTCATGAGACCTGTTAGACAACAGAATCTCCAACAATTCCCACCATAGCACACCTTCTCAAGGGTTACTCTTTGAAAAAGCAAGTCAACTGGCATTTGAATGGATTTTCTGGCATATTCCCTATGTAGCCTGGAGCTCTGGGTAGCCCGCCATGTGTCTATAAACATAGAAAGTGTTTTGGACAAGGGACTTTCTGCCATGTCACAACCTGCCTTTGTGGCTTTCATTTTAGTAGGCTCTTGAGACTTTTGTTAAAAATCGTGCTCATTGATGTTTTGGTTTTTGGTTTTTTGTTTGTTTGTTTGTTTGTTTTGTTTTGTTTGCATGCCTACCTGGTTTTTGTCTCTTTTACATCAGATCTGTAGAAATTGGTAGACCCTTCTATATAACCAAGTACTTCCAGCACCTCTCTCTTTTTGCTATTGCCCCTTTTACCTGGCTTTTAGCAGTCCTTTGAAGATAACTTAGCAACTCAGCAGGAAGACTTCAGCTGGCGCTTGCCAGGTATTTGTATGTTTAACAAGATCAAATTCCAGTTTAGCAAAAATTGCCCAACTAATTTCAACATGGGATTACCCTGTCCTCTTCACAACGTGTCTTCCTTGGTCCCCCTTTTCAGTTAGGGGACGCCATAAGGGGTACTTTAGTTGTTACTGAAATCCTTGAAAACTGAGTAGATAATTCTCAAGAGCCTAAGAAAACATTAGCCTGAAGTGTAAGTAGGCTTCAACATTACAGTTTTAAAATGTATTTCAAGAGGAAGATCTGTTTTCTAACTTTTCCAAACCAAACGTGTCTTTCTTTGGTAGGTCTACTGGTATGGAACAGAATCCAGGGGTTCTGGCTGATTCATTCTGTTCCTGGGTTTCCTCCAATTCCAGAAGATGGCTATGGTTATCCTTCCTCAGGGAGACGGAATGGACAAAGTGGCATCTGCATAACTTTCCAATACAGCCAGTATGAAGTAATAGGTAACACTGGAGCATATGTGAAGGGGGCAGTGTGTTGAAGAAGGAAGCAGAAATCACATAAACAAGGGTGCCGCTTCATCTGTTGATCTAGTCATGGGTCTTCTGTGTTGACCTAGTCATGGGTCTTCTGTGTTGATCTAGTCATGGGTCTTCTGTGTTGATCTAGTCATGGGTCTTCTGTGTTGATCTAGTCATGGGTCTTCTGTGTTGATCTGGTCATGGGTCTTCTGTGTTGATCTGGTCATGGGTCTTCTGTGTTGATCTGGTCATGGGTCTTCTGGTGCCCTGATCCTCCCACTGTTTCTGCTATGTTGCAACCTTGGGCAGGATCCCTTACTGAGCCTCAGTTCCTGGTCTGTAAATGACGTTGTGAATTCGACTAGGGACAATAATTTCAAAAACTGGACGAGGCAGACAGATGTTGCATGAGCACTAGAAACAGTGACAAACTTGGGTGGTGACTTTCCCTTGGATGTCTTCAGAGGCCTCAGTACCATCACAAATGTACAGAAACACAAGATGCCTGTGTGTATGTGTGTGTGTATGCATGTGTGCATGCATGTTTGTGTGTGTGTGTGTGTGTGTGTGTGTGTGTGTGTGTGTATGTAAGAGACAAACCTTTGTTTGAAAATATAGAGTCAATGTTAGTTTTTAAAATTTTTCTTCAGACTGAATGTTGCCTCCATACTGCCAACATCACACCTCAGCAGCAGATAAATGTCTTCTAAGATCTCATGCTCAAATAGTCCAAAATACTTCAAACTATGGTGTGGAAGTAAGAAAAGAAGTAGTGTGTTTGACCTTCAGATACAGGAAACTTGGAAAATGTTCCTCACCCAATATTCACCTTAAACCCTATATTAGTCTAGACCAATGTCTTAACCTTCTTAATGCTATGACCCTTTAATACAGGCACACATGTTGTGGTGACCCAACCATAAAATTTATTTTTACTAATACTTCATAACTGTAATTTTGGTAGTTATGAATAGTAATGTCAAAATCTGATATGCAGGATACCTGATGTGCTACCCTGTGAAAGAGTCATTTGACCCCAGAGAGTTGAGAACCACTGGTATAGACTCTAGAAGAACTGAAATGAATATATATCCACATGAGATTTAGTGGAGTAACTTATAGCTAGTCCAGCATTGGCTGTCTACCAACGAAAAGTCCAAGAATCCAGTAGTTGTTCAGACTCGAGGCTGGACATCTTAGTTAATCTTCAGTATATGCCTGAACCCCAAAGAAGTAACATCTAATTTCAGTGAAAGATTGACCTTCACATTGAGAGTGAAGGCAAGCAGGCAAAGAGTAAAAGCTTCCTTCTTCTATGTCCTTTATATAGGTTGCCACCAGAAGGTGTGGCCCAGATTAAAGGTAGATCTCCCACCTCAAAAGATCCAAATTAAAGGTGGCTGCTCCCACTTCAAATGGCTTTTTTAAAGAAAAATCTCGCATAGGTATACACAGCCGCTTGGGTTCTAGTTAAGGTGACAATCAAGACCAGCCATTATGTCCCTCATTTAAGTAGCTGAAGTCATGTTAAGAGTGCTGAATGCTGCAACAATAAGTTGATTGTCCTGCAAGCTGAACATTTGGCACTAGGAGTTCTTTACTTTTACATACACACACATAGGAAAGAAAGCATGTGACCTCCAAGGCAGGGGTATATAAGGATGAATTTTAATTCTGTATCTACAAGCTTTATGGCCACAGGTATGCAGCACAGATTATCAGTTAATTCATCTAAAAAGTGAGGATGGTGGTAACAACAGAATTTACCTAATAATTAGATGAGTCAGATAATTATTAGGTAAATTAGAATTTACCTAATGATTGGATGAGGAAAACATAAAACTCAGCCTGGGGAGAGGGTTTGGGATAAACTGATTGCCAGGACCTGAGTTTGAATCCCTAGAATTCACATAAAGCTATGCATAGAAGCAGTGCCCTTGTAAACCAATGGAGACAGGAAATCTCCAGAAGCTCTTGGGCCAGCTAGCTTTGGGGATGCAGTGTCAAACAGCAGAGAGACCAGGCCTTAAGTAAGGTAGGACGCAAGGACTGACACCTGAGGCTGTCTGTCGTCAGACTGCTGCATGTGCGCCATGGCAGACACATGCATATATGCACACACATCATACATACATACATACATATGAACTTTATACACCCCACCCCCAAAAAGATTAAAAAGATACATAAAACCACAGAGAAGGTATGGAAAGTAGGAATGTTCAATAGGCTTCAATTACTTTAAAACCACAAGGCATTTGAGGGCCGTTGCTCTAAAAAAGTAGGGATGAGTGCCCTACTTTTGGGGAACGTTTTTGTTTCTGTATTTTGATCCTCATGAAAATCCATGCTATCAGTATTTTCATTTGTACTTAGCTTCTCAACTTCTCTTTGTTGTCTCTTGATTTAGATTCCCAACTCTTGGTCTCCCAGCCACGTATCTACAGCTGCTCCATCCCAAACACCTTCCACTGGGAACTCATTCACATGCCCCAGCTGTGTCAGAAGTCCAGCGCCTCGAAGATCCCTGGCCGGCACCTCGCCATACTTCAGTCAGCCCAGGGACTGAACTTCCTTCACTTTGCGAAGTCCAGTTCTTACACTGATGGTATGTAAGGCTGTCTCCACGGTAGTAGGAATCGTGTGGCTTGCTCAGAGGAAACATGGTTATTTGGGGTAGAGTGGGAAAGAGGAAGAGAAAGGAAGAGAGACTCCAGGCGCCAGCTCGTGCCCTTTCCTGTCCTGTGGGAATAGCAGCAGTTGTTGGCTCAATCACAGAAGTCCCTCACACACATACAGCCGGGCCCCTAGAAACTGCCTCTGCTGGGCATTAAGCCATGCCTATTTCCGGTACCCGCTAGACAGTTGCTCTGAGCCCTTCTTGTTCTCAAACCTTATACAGCCCTTTCCTCTCTCCCATGGTGAGAATGAAGATCATAAGGGAGCAGTCACTTAAGTTCTATAACCCCACCTCTTGGCTATCTTTATGCTTTTATACCTGGGTTTGTATATATCCCAGCAGCCACCATAACTCTCTCTATAACCCGCTCTAGCCTCAGAACACCTTGATTTTTTTTTCCTACTGGATCTTTCCTTTCAAACTTCCCAGCCTCGTAGGCTCTTCCTTTGAAGCACACGGGCTCACTTAGAAACCATTCCTCAAGTCTACACTGCCCATCTCCATCTCTCTGGCTCCCACTTCTTTTGAAGCAACCTCAGAGGCTTCAGCCACTAGATTCCCTTCACTTTGAGTCTTGCTTCTGTCTATAAACAATCTCTCACAGCCACAAATGCTTGTCTTACACAACCTTGTGCTCTACAATGCTTTTTGCTTTCTTCCATCTTTTTTTAAAAGGGATTTAAAGATTCAGGGAATCTACTGAATGCCTACAGCCTATGGCAGACACTAGAGATACAGAAACTATCAGGAGAGAAGAAGCCATTGCCGGCCATGGCGCTAATGAAACCCTCCCCGCTTCAGGAAAGCTATCCTTCACTGACTTGGGGACATACCCTCTTGTTTTTCTTCTGATGTATTGAAGTCCCTTGTGCCAGACCCACCTCCTTAGGAGACGAGATCACTATATGGTTTTCTACCCTTCCTTATATCACTCTGTGTGCCATGTGACATAATTCCAGAAAGCCCTTGGACAATTTCCAAAGCTGAGATTTCTGCCCCAGACTTCTATACTGACGGATGCACTCAACCATGAGTGGGCTGTTTCCACCTGGAGTTGGTAGAGCTAGACCAAATGCAATGTGCCAGATTGATCTCACCATCATCCCCCACATACCCACCCTTTTCTTCATGTCCAACACAGTCTCCAAGACGTTCCAGATTCCCTCTTTATTCTTCCAACAAACCACCAAATCCACCCGGTCTCAGGCCCTTATTGATTTCAATTCTATCATATCCTCTCTAGCTCTCCTGAACCAGTGGTTTGTTTTATCACAGTTGTTGTGAAAATCTGATATTTTCTACATCCTCTGAAACCCACCCTTCCAAGTTCATCCTAGACAGTATCTCTCAATTGATATTTTTGACCATATGTTAGTTTCTCTTTGTCCTAAACTAACATTTTTCTAAAAAAACAATTCCCACTGACTTCAAAACAATTCAATTATGATAGTATGGCTTACAAAATCCTTCAAATCAAATTGCCTCTAATTCTCCAGCCTTATTATTTTCAGAAGTCCTTTCATGGCTAAAATACACATTGCTTTCTTCATGTGGGAGAGAAGGCATTTGCAGACTCCAACGTCTTTACAATATGACAGTAATAACTTTTGCTTGAACATTGCTTTGGGATTTAGAAACTGTTTTCCCATCCACTGTGTAACTATGTGGTCATGCTGTTACTATTGCCAGAAACAGACCAGGGTGAATGGAGGCTTCTACTCCCTAGGGTCTTTTCAGGAATGACCTGGCTGATCTCATTCACAGTTTCTCTCCTCCTGGCCCCTAGACATCTTTGCAGCCTGGATGGCTCAACAGTTGAAGGCACATTTACTAGCAGAAACCTGGCAGTGGAAGACACATGAACTTCCTTCAAACTGTTCCCTGTCTTACCATGTCTACAACATCAAGCACCTTAAGACACCTTACTTCAATTCTTACTCTGACCATTCCAAATGGTGCCTTTCCACCCTGGGCTCTATAAATCGATGGACCTGTATTGGAGACCTAAATCGGGACCCACACCAAGTCTTCAGAGGTGGAGGATTCATCTGTACCAAGAATCGGTACATTTACCAATCATTTTATAGATTAATTGACTCTTACGAACCATGTGGCTAAGCTTGGGGGAAAGATGAATCTGTCCTTGAAAATACTAGAAATGGAATTTCTTGCCTTGGATCCATTCTCCATAGGTTAAAGGCTTCTGAGTACGCACTACATAGTAACCAATAAAACATTGTGGGTCCACATTTACCGTTCTGTTCTCATCAGTAGATATTTGTCTCCTTTGTATTTATGGAATTACAAATGTTAATGATGGTATGCATGCAAATAATGATAATAGATGGAATGAAAGAAAGCATTCTCTCTAGCTTGGTCATCTTCAGTGACCTATCTTGTATATTAAATTTAATCTCTTTCACAAAGTTCTCCTGACTGTCCTGTTTGAAGAAAATAAAAGCACCTCTCTCTCTCTCTCTCTCTCCCTCTCCCTCTCCCTCTCCCCCTCTCTTTCCCTCTCTCTTACTCTCTTTTTCTTTCCCTCTCCCTGCCCCCCCTCCTCCCTACTGGCTTATAGTTTAGTCTTGCCACCTTTGCAGGTACTATTTACTACTAATATATTCTTGAGCTGCTCGCTTGAATTCTCCATGCCATTTTTAAATTCAGTCTAAAACAGGGAGATCATGTCTAAGCATATTCAAGCACCTCAATCAGAACTTGTCACGTGGCTAACAATTAAATCACTGGAAGAAGCCAATCCCATCTCTTCAGGAGACTGAGGCAGAACTGTTGATCACAAGCTTAGAATACAAAATAAATTCAAGGCTAGCCTGGACAACTTAATGAGAACTTATCTTACAAAAAAAAAAAAAAAAAAAAAACCAAACCAAAACAACAACTACAACAACAGCAACAAAAACCATCTGGGAGGTAGCTCCATGGTCTCTACTCTGTACAGCATATGCAACGTCCTGGGCTCAATGTCACTTCCACTCTAATACAATACAGGATGTGAAATGCTGGCAAAATTCTACCTCCCCCCAATAAAATATGACACCCAGAAGTTTTATGAATGATTTTTAGAAAGAAAAACAAGGTGAATAAATGGACTGAAAACAGTGTAAGTATAAACCCATGAATCTGAAGAAAATAAATGCAAATGAAGAAGCAAGAAGCAGGGGTAGTGATCTTAGTCCAAGATTTCTTCTGGAGCTCTCAGCATGAGATGCATGTTATGGGAGGTGATAACAAAATCAAAAGGCTTGGTTGCTTAGTAAACTGTGAGGTTTGGGTCCACGTTCCAAAGCTTAGAATGTAGCAGAAGTCAACACGGTGACTGCACCCAGCACCCGCTGACTGCATAGCATCCATGCAGTTCACACCCATTGCTCCTTCTCTTATTTAAGCTTTATGGCAATTCTTTTCAGCAATGACTTTCACTATCCTCGTTTCCCTGACAACTCAAGGCAAGCTTACAGAGCTGTTTGGCTGTGGGATTGGGTTCTTAACTGAGACTCCAGAAAACAATAAAAGAAGTGTTATCTCAATATGAACCAAAGTCTATAGGACCTAATGGTCCAATGACAGGCCATGAAAAAGTTACTTGTCTTCTTGCCAAAAACAAGTTTAAGAGATGGGTGTTTTGGATACTGTTTACCTACTTGGGAACATTTAATGGCCTGCAGAAAAAAAAAATATTTTGGTCTCGAAGAAAACACCTAAGTATAAATAATCGCCATGAAATGGATTATTAATGGAAAATTTTTAAATGCAAGATGATGACTCTCATAGGTGAACAGGGGCAAAACTTGACCCAATTAAACAAAGAGGAATAAATAAAATGCAAAAAGGGCCAGTGTGATGGCTCATCACGTAAGAGTATCTGTCTAGTAAAGTTAACAACCTGAACCCAAATAAGGGGGCTGGAAAGTAGCCAAGGGATTATGAAGATCTGGGTTCACTTCCCAGCTCCCCCCATAACATCTCACAACATCTGCAGCTCTGGCTTTAGAAGATCCAATGGATGGAAATAGAAGAAACCATCCTGAGTGAGGTAACCCAGTCACAGAAAGAGGAACATGGTATGTGCTCACTCATATATGGATTTTAGACATAGAGCAAAGGATCACCAGCCTGTAACCATACCACCAGAGAGCTAGGAAATAAGGAGTATCCTAAGAGAGACATACATGGTCCCCCAGAGAAGGGGAGAAGGACATGATCTCCTAAGCGAATTGAGAGAGCGCATAGAGGGAGGGAAGGGGGAGTTAAGAGAAAGAGAGGGGAGAAGAGGTGGGGAGTGGTGGGCATGAGGAAGCAGGAAGATTGAGTTGGGGGAACAGTAGAGGAGAGCAAGAAAAGAGACACCACAATAGAGGGAGTCATTATAGGTTTAAAGAGAAATCTGGCACTAGGAAAATGCCCGGAGATCTACAAGGATGATGCCAACTAACAATCTAAGCAATAATGGAGAGGCTACCTTAAATGCCCTTCCCCAATAATGATATATGCTATCCTTGAGCCTTCATCCAGCTGATGGAAGCAGAAGCAGACACCCACAGGTAAACACTGAACTGAACTCCTGTAATCCAGTTGCAGAGAGGGAAGAGTGATGAGCAAAGGGATCAAGACCAGGCTGGCTGAACAAGGGGGAGCTCATGAACTTCAGACTGATAGCCAGGAAAACTGTTAGAACTGACCCAGAACCCCTGAACCTGGGTGTCAGTTAGGGGCCTCTGGTATTGGATCAGTATTTATCCCCAGTATATGAACTGACTTTGGGAGCCCATTCCACATAGAGGGATCCTCTCTCAGCCTAGACACAAGGGGGAGGGTCTAGGCCCTGCTCCAAATGATATGACAGACTGAAGATTCCTCCCCATTGAAGGCCTCACCCTCCCTGGAGAGCAGAAAGGATGGGATAAAAGTCAATGGGGAGACAGGGAGAGAGGGGAGGGCGAGAAACTGGGACTAGCAAATTAGAAACAAGTTTGTTTCTAATTTGAATAAAAATAAAAAATGTCCGTGAGGAAGAGAAATTAGAGATGGATCTAAGCTAACAAAGTTCCGAGATGGAGAATAAAGCCAATTCAGCTCTGCCTTCTCACTCTCCTAGAAAAGCTATCACCCTCAGTCTGTTATTCTCAAGTGAACTCTTCCTCTGTAAACCCAGATGAATGAACCATTGGCCAAGCTAAAGAGATCATATTCAGAAGTAAACTTAAAGCAATGGTCCCAAACTGAACATTCGATCTTAGGCCTTGAGTCTGGAAGGAAGTGCATGTACAGTTTAGCTGAGAGGGCTGTTTTTCGCTAAAGTAGAAAATCCTAGGCTTTAGAGTTTGAGAAACAGTGTAGACATACTACAAGCAGCCCAGAAGTATTGAGCAAATACGACCAGATCCGCCCACTCAGACATCAGGAGAGCTCCTTGTGGAGCTCAGTGAGTCTCCTTGATCACACATGTGCTGTGGCGTTCCCCTACACTTTTCACTAAGTGGCCCTTTTTTAGCTTAGTGCAGCTTGAGGAGGTCTGTCCTAATAGTTATGATGCTATGCTATGATGAAACTGACTGGCCAAAACCAAGTTGGGGAGGAAAGAGTTCATTTGGCTTACACTTCTGCAGTCCATCACCGGAGGAACTCAGGACAGGAACTCAAACAAGGCAGGAACGTGGAGGCAGGCGCTGATGCAGAGGCCATGGAAGAGTGCTGCTTATGGCATGCTCATCATGACTTGCTCAGCCTACCTTCTTACAGCACTGAAGACCACCAGCCCAGGGGTGGCCCCACCCACAATGACCTGAACCCTCCCACATGATCATTAATTAAGAGAACAACCTGCAGGCCTACCTACAGCCCAGTCTTATGAAGGCATTCTCTCAAACGTGGCTCCCTCCTCTCTAATGATGCTAGCTTGTGTCAAGTCGACATAAAACTGTCCAGCACAATGCCCTTGTTTATTTTCCTGAAGATAATCTTTGCCTATGCATAGAAGCAACAATGACAGAGTGAGTTTGGTACCCAGCCTTTTCAATAGAAATAATAACTGAGACATGGATTATGATGCTCATAGTATCCCAGTTAGGAGAGCTTTAAATGCCGACATAGAATGTGGACCGGAAAGAAAATAAACAGGAATGTAGCGTGAGATGGAAAGTTTTCACAAGAAGCGGTGGAAATAAATTGGTGGGATAAGATAAAACAAAGAGGTTATGTTAGAACTGCAAATGTTCAGACATTTGTTAAAGTTCTGATCCAGCTGTAAGAATTGTTGATTGACTTTTGGCTTACTACACTGACAATTTCAACTCCCAAGGAGTGGATACTCTAGCCAGAGGAAATTCCAGCTCCGAATCTGACTCGTGAACACAAAGAAGATTCTTTCAGTGAAATAAAAATGATGGTATCCTGGGTGACAAGTGTGTTTCATCATTAGGAAAGAGACGTTGAACCGACTCTAGGTTTGTAAGATCAAAGATGGAGCTGTAAGAGGAAATACGGTTCAGTGAAAGGAGCTGCTCAGAAGGAACCCAGCTTGGGATGTTAAGAAGAAATAGTGGCTGTGTGAATTCTCCTCTAGGAAGACAGAGTGGCTGCAGACAAAGCGCTCTGATGTAGTTTTACAAGCCCACTTACAGCTTGAGCGACCTCAATAGTTACTGTTCTCGAAAAGGTGCTATGACTAAAAAATAATTTCTGGGGCTGGGGAGATGGCTCATCAAGTAAAAGCACTTGTTCCATGGGCCTGAAAACCTGAGTTTAGACCCCAGTTGTCATGTAGAAGTTGGACACAGTGGTGAAGTCTGTAATCCCAGCAGTCCTATGATGAGATCCTGAGATGGAGGCAGACAATGGGGGTTTTCTGAAGCTTGCAGCCTAGCTAGCCTGGAGCACAGCTGTCAAAGAGGGAAACCCTGCTCCAAACCAAGTTCACAGATACCAGAGGTTGTCCTCTGATCTCCACACTGGTGCCATGGCAGGAATGCACCCTCACACACAAACACACACACATATACACAACACACATGTACAAAAATAAGTATCTAGAAATACTTTGTAGTTGTATTTTTAGCAGAAACTAATAGTGATGAAATATGGATGCTAAAAAAAAAACTTTTCTTTCCAGTGAAGTAGACAGTATTTGAGTTAAGTTGTAGCAAAATGGTCAGAAGTAATTCAGTCAAGATTGTTGCAAAGCAAT